TCTTCCTGCTGCTCCACTTCATACTGCAGAATATAAATAACACTAGAGTTTAATTTCATGTTGTTGTATCGGTTAAGCGTCTTCAGTTAATTGTCTGAGGTGTTTCCACGGAGAGCACCTGCAGCCATAAATGATTTATTATTACAATGAGGCAGAAACCCATGAGGGTGGGACTTCCCCTTTAATTACAGCAGCCTGCAGTCACGACTCAGCGAGTCTGTCTGAAAATTAAATGTTCCTAAACAGTCCAGTGAGACGGATAGAAACGTATTAAACACTGTGATGAAGTGTGCTTCACTGACGCATGACTAAGCTTTATTACTGAGAGGAACTCCTTAATCCCGCTCAGTGTATGAATTCACTGCAGAGTGATGAAGGTGGCACTTTTATTTATTAGTTATTATGTCAAAGAAATGGATATCATATCACACATACCTGTTTAATCCATGTGTGTGTGTGTGTCACATGTGAGGAATGAGAGGCTCATTGATACTGAGGTGTTCTAACTTTATTTTGATGCTTTGAACACAACTTGTATTCGTACTTCAACAACATACAGTGAGTTATTATTTCTGATCTGCAGTCTCACAGAGTTTAAAACCACTGATGGTGCTCCAATGAGTGGGTCCCTGTGTGGTGTGATTATGTGCACAAACATGCAGACGACACAATGGTTTCATGCTGTTTCACCAATCATCAGTTAGTGACGGCAACACACCAACAAATGCCTCATTTCCACAGCATAGTTCAGCTCGACTCAACTCACTTTTTGGTATCACAACTTTTTCTTCATATTCTTCTCCACTGCAGCGAGAACCCCCTCATGGTGGGTGGGACTTTCAGCTGATTGCCATACCAACACCAAGTAAAACTGCTGTGACATAATCTTTAACACAACAATCGCTGAATCGTTTCATTGGCATGTCTGTACGTTGTACTGTACAGACTGTACAACGAAGTGTGCACCACAGTGCACTGTGTGATACATGACATCATTAGTGGTGTACAATGTAGCTTTCTGCACTGTGCACAGTGTACATAGCATACGAAGTAGTGGACGACGTGCAGTTCACTGTAGTATACGTGGTGAACAGCGCAGTGCACGTAGTAAACTACGTAGTTATGCATGCCATTGTGTACGTCGTACTGCAAAGCGTAGTTCAATTCAATTCAATTTTATTTATAAAGCCCAATATCACAAATCACAATTTGCCTCACAGGGCTTTACAGCATACAACATCCCTCTGTCCTTAANGTAGTGTACGTAGTAGTGGATATTGCACTATACAGCACAGTGTACATAGTGTGTGGCATAGTGGAAGATGTAGTTTATGTTGTAGTGTACGTAGTGTATGACAAAGTGCACATAGCAGTGTACGTTGTACTTATGCCATGGTGTACGTAATGTATGGTGTAGTGTACATAGAGTACATAGGAGTGTACGTAGTGTACATAGTGTACAGCGTACTGAACAGCATAGTCAATCAATCAATCAATTTTATTTATAAAGCCCAATATCACAAATCACAATTTGCCTCACAGGGCTTTACAGCATACGACATCCTCTGTCCTAAACTCCCCAAAAACCCCTTACCCCCCCAAAAAAAACTTTAACGGGGAAAAAATGGTAGAGCAACTGAGGAGGGATCCGTCTTCCAGGACGGACAGACGTGCAATAGATGTCATACAGAACAGCTCATTGTACTGTACGCCAGAATGTATGTAATAAATGGCGTAGTGCATGTTGTGCTGTATGCTTTAGTGTGGGTAGTATATGGCATAGTGTACGCAGTCACGTACGCTGTACTGTATGTTGCAGTGTAACTAGTGAATGGTGCAGTGTACATAGTAGTGTGTATCACGCTGTTCAGTGTAGTGTATGTTGTGCGCAGCGTAGTGTGCTTAGCAATGCATGTTGTGCTTATGCCATGGTGTACATAGTGTATGGTCTAGTGTACGGTGTAGTGTACATAGAGTACATAGTAGTGTACATAATAGTGGATGTTGTACTGTACAGTATTGTGTACGTGGTGTAGTGTACACAGTGTACATCATGCTGAACAGGGTAGTGTACGTAATATATGGTGTAGTGCACGTAGTAGTGTATGTTGTACTGTACGCCGTGTTGAACATAGTGTGCAACATAGTTTTGCGTGCTGCCATTTCTTAAAATCTGGGCTGAATTAATAAAAAAAATCGAACTGGGTAAATAAAGTGTGACGTCAGTGATGAAGGTCAAAAGTCTCCATCATTGAGACAGGTTGATGTCACACTTTAAAATGTTACACTCAGAATGTGTCTGGTTCGGTTAAAGGATCTGTTTTGAGACTAGTTATGTTTAAAAATGATCTATTCTAAAAGCCTCAAAGATCCAGTGTAATAACTGATGACAAATTCACAACTCAAGGTGCACTTCTATTGGAGCTTTCAGCTGTAACTCAACACTTACTATCTCATGACTGAAGCTCTGTTTTTGGTCACGTGATGACACCTGAGTGAGTATTCTTTTGCTAAAGAAAGCTGCTGCATGTGGTGGAAACCATCAGAAAAGATTGTTTAATTGAACGCTGAATTTAGTTTAGTCACTGACAGAAAGGATTACAGTTGGTTGGAGAAGTGATCAAACTCCACCCTCACCTACGTTGAGCAAGTGTCCTTCGTGTAAGAGTTTGCTGTTTTGACACAGTGAGGGTCACATTTTTAAAAATCACTGCATCTCATTAAACTTTGTGATTTAATCATTTATTTCATTGTATTTGTGTCTGATAATCTTTTTTATTCCCTTTAATCTGTATCCTCTGTTACTGCTATCGTTATTATTTCTCATGTTCATTAATTTCAAGTTGTTTTCATGTGCACTGTCTTATTACCAGCTGAACACACCTGTACGAAAGGTGGTGTCCACATAAATGTTGATTTCTGAAACAAACAGACACCTTTAAATGATGCCTGTGATACGATGATGACACAGGCAGAACAACAGCTGTCAGATGAGGTCTGGTGCTTCAGGCCTTCTGCTGATGTAAGTAATGAAAATTCTCGCACACATTAACATATTAATTGAGATTTTCCAACAATCCTGTTTTTCCGATGGATGCATTCAGATGAGTCTTTGAGTCGGAGAGCGCGGAGAGATAAGCACTGTGCAGGTCTCGTCTCAACCCCGGACCCTCCGGTTTGTCTAATCTGCCCTCTCATTCACAGCCGCCGCCGTCTGATTGTTTGAGAAATGAAAAAGCCATTTTGGATTGGGCGCTGCTCTGAAAGGAGTCGCCTGTTCGGCAGCGTGGCCCTCGTTGTCAGAGCCTCCGAGGGGTCACCGGAGGTCAAAGGAATTATGATTACGCCGCAGCCTGTGCGCTCATTCTTGAGGCTCCATATTCCCCCGGTGACCCCTCCATAAAGAGGCTGATGATGGAACTCGATAGCTCTGCAGAGGAACATGAATGTTTTGTTAAGAGGGGAGTATCGCTGTTGTTCAGATCAGGAGGTTCATCTCGACAAGATGGAGGTCCTTTCTTTTATTTCTTTTTAGAGAGCTTCACTGATTCCTGACAAAATGTGGATTAAAATCTTTTTCACACCTGAGACTGAGACTCAGTGAGCAGAGGGACAGATGGATCTAAACGTGACACAACAGATGTACAGTACAGTTATGATATATTTGACACCAATTAGGTGTGAAACAACTGAATTTCTAAAAGCTAATTCACAATCGTTAGAGATGCACGTTATATATTGTCCAATATATTGTCTGATAATGGGACATTTTTCTTATTATGTATTATTTTGCTAATCAAAATTACAGCAAGGAAGTTCCACTATCTCGGGGTCTTGTTCACGAGTGAGGGTAGAATGGAGTGTGAGATGGATCGGTGGTTTGGTGCGGCATCTGCAGTGATGAATGGTGGACCAGTGAAGAGGGAGCTGAGCTGGAAGGCGAAGCTTTCGATTTACTGGTCCATCTACGTCCCAACCCTCACCTATGGTCATGAAGTCGAAATAAGTTTCCTCCAAAGGGTGGTTGGGCTCAGCCTTACAGATAGGGTAAGGAGCTCGGACATCCAGAGGGAGCTCGGTGTAGAGGCGCTGCTCCTTCACATGGTTCAGGCATCTGATCAAGATCCTCTGGGCAGACCCAGAACACTAGAGGGACTACTTATCTCATCTGACCTAGGAACGCCTTTCCAGCTCCTCCTTTTGGAGGAGCTGGAAAGCATTGCGCAGGAGAGGAACGTCTGGGGTGCTTTGCCTTTCCTGCTGCTCCCACATCCCGGCCCCGGATAAGCGATTGAAAATAGATGGATTAAAATTATAGCTGATGAATGGCGCTGATAATAGGAAACCAAACTGCTTTCATTGACGAACAAGGAAGGCATCTACACACCTAAACACAGTGAGTAGCGGTACACATTTAAAGTTGGTTTGTAAGCCACCAGTAAACATGAAGAAGAAGAAGTGAAGAAGAACGGCTGCTGCAGGCTTACTAGATGGACTAGAGAGCAAAACAGGTCCCGGTGTGGATGTCTTTCTCAGTTCCAGAGGAAGACAACATGATGGTGCTGACGGTCTGATCCCCAACCGCCACCTGACACCCCACACCCCACCAGATCATCAAACTTCCTGTAGTTGTTGAAGCACTGTGTCCAGAGCGCTAGCATGAGCTAGTTAGCAGCAGCGGCTCACATCCAACACCAACCGTTAAAACGGCTCCAAGACACTCACACCAAACAGGCTCAGCTCTGTTGTTAGACCCATTAATAACTGCTAGCCGTGTGATGCTACAGTTAGCCATTAATTTGTATCGTTAGTTGGCGACCCAGTTTGGAGCATAGCGGTGAGACCGTTATCCTACTGTGAAAATCTCATACTGTTGTCAACCTATCATATCTGTTATCAAAGTTGCACCACCAGAGAAGGTAAGGGGGGGGGGAAGGTTTGTCGGACAACCTTGTACACATGAAACTTTGGGAGAACAGGTTAGTCGTTCTGTCACTCACCGTCCTGGAGACCAGAGACAAGGAGTCGCTCCTTAGAGAAAGGAGGTCGGAGCAGGCCATGTCTCCTCCGTCACTGCTGGAGCTCAGACTGGGCTCTGTGGGGCTCACTGGGATCACCAGGTCTGTAGGTCTCTGTGCTTTCTCTGCTGGTTCCACTGGAGTCTCTGCTGGTGTCACTGGGGCAGCGGATACTGGTCGCACAGACTGGAAAACACACAAGAAAACCATGAAACTGTGTCTCAGTGACAACTAAAAGCTCCAGACTAATGGTTTTTATTTCATGGAATAAAATCACGTTATGAGTATTTAACAACACATAGTATCTGCAGCTGAGAGGCTCCTGAGGCAGAACATATATTTAAAGATAATGTTTCATACTCCATACTTGGGACTGTAAGGATCCTGCTGACTGTTGCTGGGAAACATCTTGAAACTCTTGGCATCATGGCGGAGCCAGATACATGTGAAATAATAGCTTTTGCTGTCACCTCCACATCACTGCATATGTGGTGTGATGAGATGGATCTGTGTGGACGTCTGCAGTGAATTTAACCCTCAAATTAGTTGAACTTTGTCCCAGGCTGCTCTGAGCCTTGTGGGCTCAGTCAATCACTGTTGACCACTGCTTGAACTACAAGTTGAACCTGATAGAGTCCCCTTTAGTAACATTACAGCAGCACCACGTGACCCTTGTTCTTCTGCTGTAATGTGAAATACACTTGCTGGCCACTTTATTAGGTACACCTTGCCAGTACCAGGTTGGACCCCTTTTGCCTTCAGAATTGCCTTATTTCTTGGTGTCATAGATTCAACAATGTGCTGGAAACATTCCTCAGAGATTTTGGTCCATATTGACATGATGACATCATACAGTTGCTGCAGATTTGTCGGCTGCACATCCATGATGAGAATCTCCCGTTCCACCACATCCCAAAGGTGCTCTATTGGGAACTCATTGTCATGTTTGAGATGATTTGAGCTTTGTGACATGGTGCTTTATCCTGCTGGAAGTAGCCATGAGAAGATGGGTACACTATGGTCATAAAGGGTTAGCTGACAGGAGTGGCACCTGGTGTGGTCTTCTGCTGCTGTAGCCCATCTGCTTCAAGGTTGGACATGTTGTTGGTTCAGAGATGGTCTTCTGCAGACCTTGGTTGGAACCAGTGGTTATTTGAGTTACTGTTGCCTTTCTGTCATCTTGAACCAGTCTGGCCATTCTCCTCTGACCTCTGGCATCAACGAGGAATATTTTCTCTTCTTGGGACCATCCTCTGTAAACCCTAGAGATGACTGTGTGTGAAAATGTGGCACCAACAACCATGCCACGTTCAAAGTCACTTAAATCGCCTTTCGTCCCCATTCTGATGCTCAGTTTGAACTTCAGAAGGTCGTCTTGACCATGTCTACTTGCCTACATGCATCGAGTTGCTGCCACGTGATTGGCTGATTGGCCATTTGTGTTAATGTGTAGTTGAACAGGTGTACCTAATAAAGTGGCCGGTGAGTGCATGTCTTTAGTACAAAGCATAAAAACCTTTTGTGATATTTATATTTCTGGTGTCTCCACGCAGGTTTTTTTCATGAGGATGGAAACACACTTATAATGTTATTTTAAAATCCTGAAGTGATTTTTAAACCCGTTCAGCCTGATTCTGTTCACTGTGTCTCCATCACAATGAGGCTGATGAAATAAACACACCTGTCCTACCTGCTGTACGGAGTGAAACCCCGCGCAGGAACAGTCCCAACACAAACAGTGTGAACAACCAACACTCATCACTTCCAATCTTCACTCGTGTCCCTCAAAGTGCTCCGATGTGCCGCTGAATTAACATATGAGAGAGTGTTTACAACTCAACAAAATGTCCGCCTGCCTCCCTAAAAGTGGCGTTCATCTTCACACGAGGCGAACATGGCGAGGCGGCCGCTGTCGGCCTGTTGTGTACAATTATCAACAGACATCGGCAGCAGCAGTTTAACATCTCACAGAGACGTGATTGTCCTCTAACTGTTTAAGACTGGAGTCCCTCGAGAGCTAATTATACCTCTGCAGTCTCACACACACACACACACGTACACACACATTAATGCAGAGGAAAGCTAACTGGAAACATCCTGATGAAACACGTCACAGCTCTCATTTTGATTTCAACTAATTATTTCAACATCCCTCTCACTGTAAATAATAATGACACTAGTTTGCACTTCACAGAAGGTCCCTGCTTGGCTTTTAATTCAGATGTGATCATCACATGGAGGTTTACAGGTTTACACTGTTTCACTTGTTCAGCGGTGAAGCTCAGCATGTTGTGTATCACCGGTGTCATGACGTTTACAGCACACACACACACACACACACACACACACACACACACAATAAACACACTACATTAGGGCTGCATGTGTATTTTCATTGTTTCCAGTGGAGAGGCTGCAAACTGTGCATATGTAGTGTTCAGAGTATTTACAGAACTACTTGCTACCGATGCATAAGCAAACTAAGAAGCTGCTTAGGGCCCCGTGGCTGGCACAAAGCCCCCAAGATCCTCGGGCGCCAACAGGTTCGGCTCCTCATAACAGACCTAGGCTACGTAACCAACTACTTGGGGCCCTCCTTGACGGTGCCCCCTTGACGGCGCCCCCTTGACGGCGCCACTGGCTATGCACATGTGAGTTGTGGATGGTGACAACATGTGTGTCGGCTTCCTCGAATGTACCAAGCACAGCACGATGCTGGTATAAAACAGCAAAAAGACGGGGACCTCAACACTTAAGAGGCACATGACGAAGGCTTGCCACGGAAAGAAAGACGAGAGTCAACCATCAATGCCCATGTTTGTATCCTTAAAAAAATGTCGGGTTTAAACCTGGCTGGGGCTCAGAATTACAGGCCGGGCCGGGCTGGGCTTGGACAGAACATGCATAGGTTCAGGTGGGGTCGGGCTGGATTTTTTGGGCCCTATCTAAGCTCTACTCCAGTCATTACAAGAGAAAAAAAAGCACCATGAGAGTGAACTGTGGGAGCAGCAACCAGGTAAACTGTGTTCTCTTCTCTCCAATTCTGATGTCAGCAAATTACAGTTCCCATAAGCGGATGTGTTCGCCTGCAGTGCAGCTCTCTCTAGCCTGTCTGTCTGTCTTAGTAAACATGCTGGACAGTAAATCTCTTGGTCTTGCTTGTTTGTTTGCCACTCACTTCCAGGGCTGTGTTCTGTGACTGAAAGTGAGAGTGAGACACAACTATTAATTAATCTACGTCTGATAAACGCTAACAGGTAACAGCTGCAGCTCAGGAAAGATAACTCTTATGCATGTGATAACTTTCCAGCAGCAGCCTCTGTGACCGGCCTCGACAAATATGAGGGTGATGGCTCATAATTTTAAAACAAGACAAACTGCCTCATATGATATACGTCTAATGTTACTAACTTAACCTTTTCTCATTATGAAATCACAGTGTAATATTTTTTAAGTGTTTGTTTTTACTTCAAAACAAAAACAATGTCCTTATTTTGTACCCTCCTATATGTGTTGTTTTGAAGGAATTACGTATCTGTCCACTGCAGTGGACTCCATGCATGAAAGTGTAAAGTTAAAATATAACCTGTAATTAATATTAAACTGTTTTGTTTGCTAATGTGCCAAGCTAGCTAAAGGTAGCTAGCATCTTAATTTAGAGTTAACAAAGGAGTTTTTGTTGGTCTTAATTGGACTTTCCTCTTGAGTTTTTGGCTTTAAAAAACAAAACAAAAAAGGAAAGAGTCCTAAAATCTTGGAATGGGTTAGCTTTTTTGCACTCCTGGTTCCCTCTCTCAAAGTCATGGATTTTTGGTTGCCTAAAATAAGGTCTGTGGTTAACACAAGCTGAGGAGACTTAAACGTTTTGTTCTATGACGTAAAATATGTCAGTTAATACTCTGTAAATTTTGATGTCTTTGTGTGTCTTACAGAAGGTGGTTGCTAACAAGTGGCTAAATGAGGCTACAGAACATCATTGTGCCCCTCACAGTGTCACAGCCTCGCTGTGGTGGCAACACAGAGGTCATGCAACTATTGTGTGGTTCATTTAAATGCGCTGTATGTAAGAATGTGGCCAAAACGGTTACTGCACTCAAATTCAAAATACTGCCGCGAGTCGTACAGATTCGAGGTTGCTGGACAGCGGCACGCTGGAGACTGATTTGTTTGCCCACGGGCGGCTGTTGTGGCAGGGCTGCGTCTCCGCTTCCTTGATTTTCTGTTTTCCAGCGGACCGTTCGAGCAAGTCCGGCTTCTCTGCCGCTAACGCTGCTGCCAGGATACAGCTGAGGAGGAGCCGGCTGCTAATGCTATGTACTGGGACACTGCTAATGCTGCTTGCCGTGCTGCTGTAGCTCAGTCGTAACTGTAACTGATGCTGAGACTCTACTGACTGCGTAACTGGTAGACGGCGGTGGGTGGCGCAACAGGCCAAAACACAAATTCAAAACATAAACATGATTTGCGGACAGTAAATTTTTTTTTTTAAATGTGAATATTCTGGCTGTACTATTGTTGTCGGTGAGATCAGTATCTTATATGAACATTATTCCTTAGTCTCTGTGACATATTAGGAGGATTTTACGACTATTTGCTTTAGATTTCTTACATATAGCTCCTTTATAGCTTAACATTAGTTTTATACTTGTTGCGACTGCATTCAGGCTTTAAAAACTCACAAAAGTGGTGTTCATTTCTTTTCAGATTATCTTGCTGAATATCATAAACATTTCTTTGCCATGGAGCTTAATTTCTGCAATACTCCAAAATCACAAATCCCATTGGCTTTCTGACGTGGTAACCAGGGCGACGCCAACTTCTGCGTCGGCCTTCAACAAAAAGTCATCCCTGAAGTGCTCTATGGCACCAGTGTCTCAGCTAACGACTCAAGCCTCTAAAATACAGAGGATTGTTTTGGCCTGAATTAAAATTAAAAGGAAAAATAAAGAGCACAAGATCAAATGTGTGTTTTTGTTTTCCTTTTTCCAGGTTTTGTGAATATTTGGACAAACATTTTGTGAGTATCTTGATTGATGGCAGAATCAAATAAATCAGTAACACTGAATTTAACCACTGTGTGTGAAATGGATCCCTCGTTGTGAAACTTGAGCTAACTGAGCTGATCCTCCATAATAAGGGTCCTGTTATGTTAATAAGATTAATCAAATATCAGGCATTTAACTGAT